GGGTTTTTTAAACAATATTTTTTATTGATTTCAGAGAAGGAGAGAGAGGGAGGGAGAGAGAAATATCCATGATGAGAGAGAATCATGGATGATGGGCTGCCTCCTGCACGCCCCACATTGGGGATCGAGCTCGAAACGCAGGCATGTGCCCCGACCGGGAATCTCACTGTGACCTCCTGGTTCCTAGGTCGATGCTCAAGCACTGAGCCACGCCGGCCGGGCAGGAGTCGGGTTTGGATTACGTACTCAGGTAGACTCAGGCAGCAACGTTAGCCCATAAAGGTTTAGGTCACTGCCTATTTCTCTGCCATTTAGAACATATCTTTCCTATGACACTTCAGTATTTGCACTGTCAATGGCTGTTTAGATCTCCAGGGAAAATACATTCAGATAGATTTCACTGGAAGTAAGGTTCTAAGTGCATTTCAATGTACGGAGAGACTCTGAAAAGTGAGCCTCAACTTACTAAAATGTACCTTTTTTCATCGTCTGATTTTAAACTATTAACGGCCCTGGCTGGGTCGCTCAGTTGGTTAGAGTGTCATCCAGATACACCTAAGGCTGCGGGTTCAATCCCTGATCAGGGCACATACAAGAAACAACCAATGAATGCATAGGGACAATAAATCGATTGTTTCTCTCTCTCTTCCCCTCTCTAAAATCAGTCAAAAAAATTTTTTTAATATATTTTATTGATTTTTCACAGAGAGGAAGGGAGAGAGATAGTTAGAAACATCGATGAGAGAGAAACATCGATCAGCTGCCTCCTGCACATCTCCCACTAGGGATGTGCCCGCAACCCAGGTACATGCCCTTGACCGGAATCAAACCTGGGCCCTTTCAGTCCGCAGGCCGACGCTCTATCCACTGAGCCAAACCGGTTTCGGCCAGTCAAAAAATTTTAAATAAAATATTAGCCGTAGTACGGAGAGTTCTGCAGAGATGTGGACCATAGGAGTAAGGGCCGTCTGGGTCTGAATAAATCAGCATTTCTTTACACACAGCCTTGGCTGGCTTGGGGCCTTCTGCGTCCTAGGCCTTTGGGTGCCTTAACCCCACGCTAAAAGCCTCTCCCAGCTCCCCTCCCCCCATTTTGTTATTTCTGCCTCCAAACTGCCATTCAATTAGCTTTGTATGTGTGTGTGTTACATAAGATAAAGACGTACTGTGCCCCCACATATCCCCGAAATCAGGATTTCATGGGAGGGAGACAGTCATTAGAGAAGTTTTGGAGCAATATTCGCTCCATCGGCCCCATATGGTTCTTGCTGTTATCACCTAACACCTGTAAATGTCTACATTTTTGCTGTTGTTAATCCTCACCCAAGGATATTTTTCTAACGATTTTTAGAGAGAGGGAAAGGGAGGGGCCGGGGGGAGAGAGAGACATCGATTGGAGCGCACGCAGCTGCACGCAACCTACATAGGACATAGGTATGTGCCCTTGGCTGGAATTGAACCTGGGCCCCTTCAGTCCCTGGGCGCATGCACCACAGCTCGGGCCTTTAACAGCCGTATTACGTGAGGCACATCACCTGGGCTCTGGCGCAGAAGGTCCGCCACAGGTGCGCGCACAGGGAGAGGCGTGCGCCACCTCCCAGAGCTTGTTTGCTCCCAGGACGGGGGGAACCTTCTCCGGGAGCCCTGAGCCTCTTCCTGGCACCTGCACCCCAGACCCGGGCTGGACTCCGACCTGGGCGCACGGTCTCAAGTCCAAGGGGGTGTCCTGCGCCAAGTTCACTCCGCCCGCGCGCGCCCATCACGCTGGAACCCATCAAGCTGGAACCGCTATCTTTACGCAAATCGGGGACCGTTGCAAACACCCGAGGTGAGGCCCAGAGGATCCAATTGTAGCCTTTTCTGTTTTTACTTCTCACTGTGGCTCGGAATGGCGTTTCTAAAGGGAACAAAACAGCCGCCGGCGCTGCCCTGTGCGCCCAGGGGAAGGAACGGGGAAGAGGAGGCCCTGGCGGTTTCCAGCACCCCGGACGCTCCACGCTCCCGGGCTGACTGTTTCTAGAACTTTTCCTGGACAGCCCGCGCCCACTTTGTGCACTTGGGACCCCGGGCGGCAACCCTGCCTCCCCCTCCTGCACCCCTTCCCCGGTCCCTGCCCCTGCCCTGCGCCCAGGCGGGCCCCCAGCGCCAGGCGGCCGCTCAGCTGCCGCTGCTATAATTAGGAGCCCGGCCCCCGGGCACGTGGAGGCGCTGAACCAAATAAAGGCAGAGCCTGGCTCCCAGCGAGGCCCGCGCCCCGTGCGCCCCTGTGGCCCAGAAAAGATCAAACAGGCGGGCGGCTCGCCCAGGCCCCCCAACCCTCCGTTGGAGAAGTTGGAGAGGTACAGGAAGAGCTGCCCCAAATGTTACTCCCTTTTTGGGAATTGTAGTGCTGCTTTTTTTTTTTTTTTTAAGTCTGTGGCTATAATAAGGCAAGTGTTCCCGGCTGGTGGCTGGTGGGGTAAACAGTCGTGATGAGGGGTGTCCGACTTAGGAGCGAGTGCCTGGTGCAGGCTCATCAACATGTGCTTCTTATGCAAACTCAGGATATGCCCACGGGGGAGTCAGTCACCCCCTTTTTTTAAAAAAAAAATGTTTTTTTTATTGATTTCAGAGGGCATGAGAGAGAGAGTTAGAAACATCCATGATGAGAGAGAATCATGGGTCCGCTGCCTCCTGCACGCCCCACCCTGGGGATCCAGCCCCCAACCCCGGGCATGTGCCCTGGCCGGGAATCGAACCCGGGACCTCCTGGTTCCCACGTCGAAGCTCAACCACTGAGCCACCCCAGCCGGACCCATGTTAGAATCTCCAAGTGGAAGTCATACAAAACAGTCTGCTCCGTATATTATTTTATCGGGGAACATGGAAGTCTTTCCAGGGTGCAGTTGGATTCCTGGGACGTTCTTGTCCTGTGGCTGTTGGTCTGTCTGACCCAGCAGTCACCTCCGAGATCTCCGCCAGGGAGCTGTGCCCAGAGATGCGAACTCGAGTGCCTGTGAGAAGGCTCAGAACGGTCCACTTCTGTCCCCGGTCCACAGACGCCCGGGGACAAAGGTCAGGAAATCTCCCCGTGTTCTTGGGCGTCGGGAGGCCATTTCAGGTCATTCAGTTCACTATCGTGCTTCTATTTCTTGATTTCGTTTAAATTGCCATGTACTTACCATCCTGGGGTTTAGGAATCCAATTGGGAAAACCTCTAGAACTGTTTTGGTTTTTTTTTTGGTTTTTCATTGGCCAACCAGACATGAGTAAGCACTAGGTATATGTGATGCCCATTAGGTACCTGGGCACGGTGAACTGTACCACTAGACATGTCGAGTTTCGGTTCAAGGAAAGGGGGTGATACCCAACAGCTGTGACACTGGAGCAGCGGTTCTCAACCTGTGGGTCACGATCAATGAAAATACACCCTGCATATCAGATATTTACATGACGATTCATAACAGTAGCACAATGACAGTGATGAAGTAGCAACGAAGATAATGTTATGGTTGGGGGTCACCACAGCATGAGGAACTGTATTAAAGGGACACGGCGTTAGGAAGGTTGAGAACCACTGCACTGGAGGGGAGGGGTGCCCCCTGCTGGCATAGACGGTGTGTCGTCTCTTGGGCCTGAGTCTGTACCTATGACACCCATGGGACCAGGTGCTCTGTGAGTTATCATCACCTTGGTGGGTGTCCAGTCCTCGTGGGAAGAAAATGAAAACACAGTAAAAGATGTTCATCTTTTTCTTAAAAGGTTCTGTGCCCAGATTCGTTTAGTGGGGGCCCAGCTTACCTATCAGTCATCCAAAAATGTTTACCCAATTCCATTCACAGATTTAAAAGCAAGGATGGGCCCAGCTGGTGTGGCTCAGTGGTTGAGCATTGACCCATGAACCAAGAGGTCCCGGTTCAATTCCCGGTCAGGGCACATGCCTAGGTTGTGGGCTCGATCCCCAGTAGGGGGTGTGCAGGAGGCAGCCGGTCCCTGCTTCTCTCTCACCATTGATATTTCTCTCTCTCTCTCTCGCTCTCCCTTCCGCTCTGACATCAATAACAATATCTTGTAAAAAGGACAAGGGCTCTTTTAAAAAATGAAAGCACGCATGCTATTAGTGTGGCTGGTGGCAGGTAGGGAAGGGAGGGTGGGGGGTGAGGATATATTTGACAATATTGCCTTAAAAAAAGTAATCACTAAAAATGATGTGTGATGAAAAATAGAAGGACATCTTCATTGGATTTTGACCTCAGTAAAAATGCTGGGTTTGTAAAAAAAATCGTTTCATTTTCTTGTAAATCCCAGTGCTCTGCAGATGGGCCTTCAGAGACGGTAAACACCACAAATCTGTCGCAACCGAAGGGACGCATTCAAGGTCCCGCTGAGAAACGTTACCCGAGTGGAGGATCATCGGTGACTCGACTGAGCCTGGGACCGCTCATCGGTGAGTTTATGGGGATGGAGGACTTTTGTGGAATGAGGTCAAAACTCATCATAGACGAGAGGACTCACAGGCAGGAAAAGAGGTGGCATGTGAGAGACTGGAGAGAAAAAATGGCATGAAGAGAACCTACATCTGGTCATCGTTATTCATTCATTCACTCACGGGCTCGCTCAGTCTTTCTGTTCACACATTTCTCTCTGGAATCAGACTGCTGAGGCTGAAATTCCAGCTCCACCTCCTTTTTAAAAAAAGATATTTTTTAATTAATTTCAGAGAGGAAGGGAGAGAGAGAGACATCCATGATGAGAGAGAATCATGGATCGGCTGCCTCCTGCACGCCCCCCACTGGGGATGGAGCCCCCCAACCCGGGCCTGTGCCCTGACCGGGAATCGAACCCTGACCTCCTGGTTCCTGGGTCGACGCTCAACCACCGAGCCACACCAGCCGGGGCTCTGCGGTTTTCCTATGACCTGAGCATCTTTCTGGGCTAGGGACGGAGGCATGTAGGGGCACGACGCTGGGGGAATTCAGCGAGGCTGCCGCTCCCGAACAGGCTGTAATTCTAAGCTGTGCAGAAAAAGACATTATTCTCCCGTGCACTCACACCACGCCCCTCGATGGCCAAGGCCTTGCTTCCCTCCGGTCACTTAATCCTCGTAACAGCCTATAAAACAAACATGTCAGGAGCCCTTTTACGGAACAGAAAACGGAGGCAGAGAAGCACCGAGCGACTTGCTTAAAGGCATATAGCTCCTAACGAAAAGCCTCTATTTCCATCCAGATCTTCGAACTCTAAATCCCATCTCCTCCTTTTTTGCCATTTTTCTTCCCAGTATTTACAAGTAACACTTTGGGGCCTCATCGGTACAGAAATTTTTTTAAAAATTTATTTTTTTTTTACTGATCTCAGAGAGGAAGGGAGAGGGAGAGAGAAACATCAATGGTGAGAGAGAATCATGGATGGCCTGCCTCCTGCACGCCCCACACTGGGGATCGAGCCCGCAACCTGGGCATGTGCCCCGACCGGGAATCGAACCCTGACCTCCTGTTGGACAGCTGTTTCTAAGGCTCCCCTTCCCTGGCTGGGGGAGGATGTCCCCTTCCCTTATGGGGCCTGGGCAGGAAGGAGACCGGTGCAGCCTCCTGGGGAGCCTGCATGTGTTGGATGAGGTGCGTGCTCAGTGCGGTCCCCGGTGTCAGAGGGGCTGCCCCCGAGCTCGGAGCACTAGGACCACACAGCCCTGCCCGCCTGCCTCTTTGCTTTCCCTGCCCTGGCACCCCCTCAAACACCAGCCCCTGAAATACTAAACCCCACCGATGAGTAGAACCCTCCCAGCACGGCCCGGCTTTGACCCCCACTATTTTGTTAACTTTCTGGTGAGTCCAACAGCTCGAACAAGAGTGTTAACCCCGCCTGCCCCAGCCAGCCGCCTCCCCCCCACACACACCACCCACCGGAAGAGGGACATTCAGGCCACTGGGAGGTGGGCCATGGCAGCCAGAAGCAAACGCTGCCCCAGCAGCCAGCAGGAAAACCTGCAAAGAAAGAGCCTCTTTGCCAAAGGAGGTTTTGTTTTGCAGTTTCCAAAAGGTAAGGGAACCCTTCCAACCATTTTTTTTTTTTCTTTTTGCTTACGGGCTCAGAATTTAAACCTAGGACACTCAATGGCCAGAACCCCGGCCCACCCCCGCGCGCCCGGGGCACGCCGCCAGCCCCCGGAGTTCGAGTTTCTGCCCAGTAGGCTTGTAACCTGAACTTGCTGTTTCTCAAAACCCCAGTTCTCGGTAGCGGGCACTCACTCGGGGCCACGGGGTTCTGAGAATGATTGCGCTTGTCAGCTGCTCGGTCACACGCCCTGCGTTCCAGCCGATCCGTTTCCCTGTCCCCCAAGTTGGCGGCCTGACAACGCCACCCAAGGCTTGCCGCCATCACCCAGAAATAGGCCCTCGGGCCTGGGATCATGAGTCCATTTCAGGATCCCTCGCGTCTCCACCTCTGACGACGACGGGTAGCAAATTCGTAGTTACTTTGGGTCATGCTAGAACGTCATCAAAGAACTGGGCCCCATGCTGAAGCCGGTGTGGCTCAGTGGATAGAGCGTCGGCTTGCGGACTGAAAGGTCCCGGGTTCGATTCCGGTCAAGGGCATGTACCTGGGTTGCGGGCACATCCCCAGTGGGAGGTGTGCAGGAGGCGGCTG